CAGCGCTCTTCAACGTGGTTCAGATTGGGAACGAAGAGCTCTCTGATCGACTAAAAAGGAATGAAGATGGAATAGTCGATGTTCTGTTTAGAAAACAAAATTATTATTTTACTTAAAATCTGAATGCAAAACGACGTAGTTTCAAATAGCCGAGGAGAACATTGTAACAGCCCGTTACGTACCGGTATTGTTAACATTGATTTTGATATTAAGCGCAGTTACAATCACAACAGTTTATTTAAAAATACAAGTAAACTTTTTCCTTTTCATTACGTAAGCATCTGAAAATAATATAAAATGTAATGATATAAACTGTGATCATAACTGAAATCTATACGAGGAATTAACATTACACACGCTTAACTATCATACAATGTTTACTTTAAGTTGCTAAGAGCTTCCCATAAACCAACTTAGCATAAATCTTGCTTTTCCACTTTTCCTAACATTGAACATGCTTCTGTCCTTTCATTATTGGGCATGATCCACACATTATTAGATTCCCATCTTTTAGTATGTTAAAATAAATTCAATTAACTTTCCAACAAGGTATCACACACATCATTTGGAGTTCTATAACTCCGGATACGTTCATCATAAGTTGATCCCTTAAAACTATAAACAAACTCTAACAAAACAGGGCAGCATCTTATAAATTAAACTAGTAATGATATATATGCTCAATGATACTAAAAATTTATCATGATATAGAACTATGTTTTAGCTTCATATAGGTCCAAACCTCACTCAATTTGGAGCCCTATAGCTCAAGTTATGTCCATTTTACTACATCATGTATGAGCTGGAACGTGTGACGTTCCCCCATACACGGGACGTTCCCTATACATATCAGTCGTTCCCTAAGGTCATTCTCACGAGTCATTTCCCTTTTGGGTCGTTCCCACCATTTGAACATAAGGCATTATCATCCCCAAAACAACATATGTTCCCGTTCCTGCTATCGAAATATCACTTCCATTTTAACATTTCAAGATTTAGCAGCATTAGTTCTAATCCAAACTGAGAGTGATCTACTGCCCAGAAAATTCTTAATTTTGGATACAATAAACTAGATTCTTGGGGCTTTAATTTTACATAACATAAGCCTAATTTTAGTAAGGAACATGGGAGATATGAATTTTTGAAAACCGTTTACAGAAGCTGTGTTCTACAGTGTGGAACAGAGAAGTCTGTATTCATTTGAAAACTAGGCAAGTTCTACTACTCCAAATAATACCAAATGTTGACACAACATATCTGACATCTCAAGCTTGAAAATGATATATGACACATCTCTATTCGATCTCTGTGGAGGAAGATATGATCTCCCAAAGTTAGCCTAACAACTTTCGTTTTAATATAAATTTCGGCGGCACCTCCTTTGTTTATTCAATCTATCCCACTTTATCAAAAGTGTGTTATTATGCCTCAAGGGTACCTAATAGACAAGGTTGGAACTCAAGGACCAACAATGTCTTGGTGCTCTTACAACCCACAACAATTTAACATATTCTCATCCATTTATGATTCATTACATACTTTATCAAAACTTAGAATTATTACAATCGTATTGTCCCATTTGCTTGCATTCTTACAATAGATACATAATCATAACTTAAATTAGGCATATTTCCCTTTCATCAAATACATGCTTTACATATTACACAAGGTCCATGAGTTCTCATTTACAATTTTTCAAATGATAAATAATACAATTAAATATTCCGAAGTACAACATGATAAATCAACAACTAGACTTAGGCAAATTATGGCATGAACAAGTATACAATATGCATAATCCTAAATCAATATACAATGTTCATGCCCTAAGTCTAGCCTATGCCAAAGTGGCCTCAAAATGCAAAAATCCTCCAATCTCCAAGTGCACATCCTATGGGCCTCTTACCCACAGCTCCAGTCCCACTGCAACTACCTGAAATGATGCCCCAAACACGGGGTGAGATATACGAATATATCTCAGTAATCCAGAGGTTCTGGAGAATACTCCGCCCAATGGCTCACTTCGATGCATATAAATAATATAAAATAACCATTTTTCAAAACGGGATAAAGCAAGGGATTTAGAGAAACTGGGGAATATAGGAATACAAAATACGACGCAGCGGGAATGGTAACTACCAATACCACGCAACGTCCTCGGCATATAAGCCTATGGGTCTCATCCAAGTCGTGTTCCTAGAACATCCAACCAAGGTACCCCTCCCATCCGCATACACCCGAGACTTCCTAGTGTGCTCCTATCCGGATCACACACCACGACCCTGGGTCAACTGGAACTCCATCTCGGAGACCTATCCAGTGGAATTCTGAAACGCCCGAAGGCAAAAACTGTCTACTGGCCAGAGACTTCGTACATATGTACCCTCATAAATACTCAATGCATGCTCATGTCATTCTACATTACTCATATACATTTCCTACCATCACCCTCAACGGGCATGGTGGAACACACAAGGGGGTCAAGCCCCAGTACAAAGAGGTTACCTATTAGAAGCTCCCAAACTAGGTAGCTTCAATAGTTAGTCATCTACATTCATGTTCGAGGAAGGCCACCTACAATGATCACAGATACATGACCATCAATTAACTTGTCCAACAAGCACAACAAATAACATATTGCAATCCCTCCATCACACTATAGGTTCGACCACAAGGCCCAAATATTACCCAATGTGTTTCCATCACACCCAATCAACTCCATGGTTACACAACCTTTCTCAACACCAATACAATTCTCATTTACCTTACATTATCACTTAGCATCACACTCCCTTAATCGTTCCCTCTAGGCCGAAAATACATATCAAGGGGGACAAGGTTTTCCACTCCATTCATATGTGTTACACACTCATTTTACCTTATTATTAATGATTCAATGCATCCATAACTCATTTACATCGTTCCTTAACACCTTATTTTACAACAACTCCTAGTCCATCCTTTAAAATTTGTCTAAGTTACCAAACTTTATCGTAATAACTTTTATTGGTTCAATCATCGTCATTCACCATTGTGAGCATTGAATTCCAAAGGGACACTACCATTACATGCCTCCAACTACATCAATCAACTCACACATATTCAAGATTTATACCCATTTTCAATCCATCATCAAATCAAGTCAAGAGTTGGAGTACTTACCACAAATGATCTCCAAGGACTCTTAGGATGTGTTTTCAAGCACCAAAGCAAGTCAAGCCGCCTCCAATGACCCACCAAAGCTTCAAAAACGTCACTTTCTAAAGGGAGGATCTCTTCACACTCTTCTCCCCACTTTAAAATAAGGGTAGAAATGTGTTCCTCTCAAAATTTTACACAAGTTTGGCTTTGGAATCGTTCGATTCCGTTGAGTGTAGCTTGAGTTATGAATTTTCTCAAGTTTTAACTCTTTTCTTCAATGGTGGAAGGGGGGCTGTGGGTTTTGAAGGAGAAAGTGAGGAAGATGATGCACTCTCACTATTTATCATGTGCCCTAATATTTCACTTAAGTGAGGTAGACTCCACAAGTGCCACCTCATTTAAAATCACTCAAAAACACCACTAATCTTTAATTAACTCTCAAATCATCCAGTTAATTTTTGTTCTAATCACCAAAGCATCATTTCAACCTTCACCAAAGTTATTTAATAATACCCTCAATATTATTTTTGGATTTCTGATAACTTTTTCCAAACTACATTTTTCTCCAAAAATAACTATATAACGTTCCCAACCCAGGAACGTCGTTCCACCATGAGAACTTTGTTCCCCCTTTTGGAATAACCTACTGAATATTGTTCTTACCTTGGGAACGTTGTTCTCCCTCTGGGAACAACTTACTGAATACCGTTCCCACCATGGGAACGTCCTGCTGAATGTCGTTCCCACTCCGGGAACGACCATTATTCAACAATTTTTTTTAAAAAGTGTTTATCCACTCCAAATTTCGTTCTGAATCCATTTTCATCATTAGTTTCATCAAATCAAATGTAATTTTATCATCTCACAGACTAAGGTTGGGTATTTGCAAAATTATCATTTTACCCTTCGTGTGTAATTTTACCTGGATTTCAAGATTTTTCCTAAATAAATCCTCTAACTAACATTTTAACTATAATTAAATGTTTTAAAACTACGAGGTGTTATAAACATTGTCTCAAGCAGCTTGAGAAATGTTTTCCCCTATATATATATATATATATATATATATATATATATTTATATAAGACATGATCATTTGACATCAGTGTTAGTTTGACACTAAATCTAAATTATTGATTTTCGTCACTCTAACGGTTATAATTTATTGGAAATTAATAATAAACTAATAAATGTGACTTAATAAATTATAATCGTTAAATTCACGGAAATCAACGGTTAAGATTTAGTATCAAACTTTTTAGTTTGACATTGATGATAAAGGATCTTGTCCCTGTATATATAAATCTGACTTAATAAATTATAATCGTTAGATTCACGGAAATCAACGGTTAAGATTTAGTATCAAACTCTGTAGTTTGACATTGATGATAAAGGATCTTGTCCCTATATATATATATATGTGTGTGTATTGGGGGTATTACAATTAAGGAAGACTTAATTGTATATAATTCACTTTTTCCTTTTGGCTTCCTCATAATTTTTGTGTGGTCGGTAACGGCACAAGTACGTGCATCCAACATTTCCCTTAAATTTGAGTATCTGTTATTATATGATCATGCAAATCATGCATGCTATAGAATTCATCGCCGTGGTACGACAACATGCACTTTGAATTGCATAACTTGCAACAATAATTAATAAACAAATAGTTTTACTAGTCAATATTACATATATTATTCTTTAATTCACAACCTCCATGCTCCCTATCAACATGACCTGTATTTATTAATAATAACAACATTTAATTTTGCTATTTTTGAGCAAGCAATTTGTATAACACGGTCTAAGTGAATATGTGAAACGAAAGCCAATTATATCAGCTAGATGAAGTGGAGATTATGGCAAGCATACTCCTTCCATGCCACCTCTGGTTTGGCACAAGTGCTACACGAGGAAACCTACTAAAGAAGCACAAGTTGCATAATCATTGTTGTGCAAAGGCATCATCTAGCTCATGGAATTTCGGGCGTAAGAATAATACTTTCTCCTTCAATTACAGAAGCAGTAGTGCTGGTGTTCCCCTTCATGAGTTGCCTGGGGTATATAAATATATGCATATTTATGTTACATGTATATCTCACCTTCTTCCTTGCATCAGTTGCATGTTCTTTGTGCTTTTGTTGTGTGCTTAAGGTTGATCTTAATTGGTTTTGCAGGCTCCATTTGATCAATATATGGAAGACGTTGGAAGAGTAATCCAAGCTATATTTCCAGAAAAATCAACAAACCAGCAGCTCAACAAGGTACTACCATTTGCAGATTGATGGTGCTTAATTTCATATTTCTTGTTCAAATGATAATTTTTTTAATTCTAATCGGTAGATTAAAGGAATACCCCACATCTAGTTTCATAGTTTAGATATAAAGCATATATCTCTAATTAAAATTTATTCTTACCTCCTCTAACTTTTTAAAGAGAGTTGTTATTTAATATGGAGATTATTTAGAGTGAACCGGGACCACCATTTTTTAGGTGGTCCCTTAGTGTAAATAGGAGGGTAAAATTGGAAAAAAGAGAAAATAACAGGAATAAAAAAGGAAAGAAAAAATTAATGATGTGAGAGGGAGTACAAAAAGATTCAGTGGTCCTGGACCATAATAAATATTTCCCTTAATATGGGCTAATTGACAAATGTAGTACAGTTTTCAAAAAAATTTATTAAAATATTATAGTGATGACATCTGTCTTGTTTGTGAGATCATACGGTAAAATTGATCAAAAGTAATCAAATTACTTTCTTTTAAGAATGTACTATATTTGTCATTCTCCTAACATGACATCTAAACCTTGATGACCAAATTCTTATGAGTTCAATCCTTACCATGTTTGAGTAGTGTAAGTAAATTATAATTTAAACATACGATTCAATTAAGTTAACTTGTCATTATCGATCCTTGTTTCAAGGCCAACGATGATCCCATGAGGAGCTATGTCAGAGACAAAGAAACTCAATTTTTAGATGATCATTTATCTAAACATGTTTCCGTTAATTATGTATACAGGAAGAGTGGAGAGTTAAGATGACTCCGATAAAAGCCTTGTTCTTAACATGTCAACCAATTATATACATTACAGCTAGATGCTTATCTGAAGGGGAGGATTACCCACCTGAGATTCCTGGGCATATCATCAAACTTATAGAGGTTCAGACTGTAAGTACTTTATTAAATTTTAAGTAACATATATTTTTAATTTGGTCATGCTCAAACCGCTTGTTCTGAACCCATATAACTAAAAGTAAATTCTTTGTGTAAATAAAGAGTTAAACCCATACACACTTATGAACCCTAGCCTCTCTTGATGTTGATTTCATTATACACGCACCACCTCTTTTTCCTTTCTATTATATTACATGGGAAAACTATTTGTGCTTTACAAGGATATAAGTTGTGTGCTTTTAGTTTTTTTACTTTATGTACTCCGAGTACATAGTTATAACATGAAAAGTTACTTTTTTTCTCTCCTCAGTCACATCAGCTCTCAGTCACATCAGCTGAAGTGAAAAGTGAAAAAAAAAAGTACTATTTCATGTTATAATTATGTATTATAGGAGTACATAGAATAAAAAATTAAAAGAACACAATTTACATCCTTTAAAAGTGCACGCACTGAATCCATATTATATTATTTTCGGATAGTGATATGTGACCACCTACAATTGTCTCCTCCATAAACACCTTTAGTTCACTTATCCAACATTAATCACGATTCTCTTGGATCAAACACGGCTAAAAGCACTTATCTTTTGTAGACAAGGTGGGAGCTTCAAGGTTTGCATTCTGATTACATACCGTTAGATTTCAACATCAATGCTAGCGGAGCTTTATACCTGGAAAGGCAGGGAAGGCATAGCTGGATGAAGAATCAGATAGATATTAGTTTAAGCCTTGCTTTTCCTCCATTACTCGCATGGGTTCCTGAACATGTCATGCAAAAGTTTGTGCACTCGGTTAGAATTTCTTTAGTCACACTAAGCCTTTATGTGGTACTGTGTTTAGTGCATGTGCCTGCACTTCAATTTTGATTAGACTAATCTGTGAAGAGATTTTGATTAATTGATTAACAGGTTCTCAGAAATTATGTGGAGGATATCAATAATGGATTTGCTGTCAGATTATTGGCAGATTATAACTCGTTCAAGAGGGACAAGCCCAAAAATTCGGTGTAATTAGGTGCAGCTTCACTAATCATCAAATTTCATAGGAGCAAGAGTTATGCTGATACAAATAAAGTCTATTTCAAGGTTCCGTACTATTAGATGAAAAGGATTCAGAACATACTGTGCACAAACTTCTTTTTAAGATTCAATTTTTATTTTTGGTAATGCTGGAATGACTAGGCAACGGGCAAAGACCAATTTTTTACCTCGTAGGAATTCGAAGCTAGAATCAAACGACTATATATAGCATTAAATTTTATCGGAAGCTACAATAATACACACATATATATATATATATATAAATGAAAAAAATATTTCTCAAGTTATTTAAGATATATTTATCTCCGGTTATCCTAAAATTACATCATTTTAATTATTTATATCCTTCTATTATATAATTGATTCACTCTTTAATGGTTATGACTTATGGTTATCTTTTTCTCTCTCTTCTTTTATTATTATTGATCCATTTTTGTATAATTATAATTTAGTGGCAGGAAATAAAGTTATATCAAGCTTGAGATTGAGAAAGGATAAGCCTTATATATATATATATATATATATATATATATATATATATATATATATATATATATATATATTTCACATTAAATATGAGAAATCAAATATACAAAGGTGAAAATAAATATAAAATATTAAATATGAGAAATCATAATTATACAAAGATAGAAATAAATATAATCGTTAGATCGACATAATCGATCTAACGGTAAAATTGATTGGTAGTAACACTAATTGATTGTTACAATATCCTACTCCTATACGATAATCTAAAAATTGAGTTTCCAGACATATCTCCTCATGGGATCATCGTTGGCCTTGAAACAAGGATAATGACAAGTTAACTTAATTGAATCTTATGTTTAAATTATAAGTGTCCAATCCAATTAAATGTTTGCCAAGAAGAAAAAGGGGCAGCACTTGCATTCTGACAGACGCAATAAGATAAGTAACATTCAGAAAATCATTTAATGAGTTTGAACGGACATTATGTGATCGTGGAATTTGTGAACTTCAAATTTTGGATTGTAGGGTTGTCAGCTCGAATTCCTTAAAATCCCAAAAGTATAGGCATAACATAAGGCATTGAACAGTGTCTTCAAGTATATCTAACAAAACTAAACTGTAAAAAGATTATCCAAAAAAAAAAAAAAAAACTAAAGTGTAAAATAGTTTTTTTTTTTTTTTTTCAGATACACAAGTGTGAAAGAGTTATATACCATCTAAGGTGTATATAGTGTGTATTTTGAAAACAGAAAGTGTGAAATTAATTACGGTTTACATTTTTATAAAATACTTTATAAATATGTGAGAAACAACCCCTTTAATTTTTTTCATCAGCACATGGTTTATTCAAATTGAGAGGAAAATACATTAGTAGGTTTGTAGGTGAGAGAAATCATTAAATTTTTTAATGAAATTTTTTTCCAAATTTTTAAGAACAATTTTTTTAAAAAAAAAAAAAAAACACAGTTCTTTCACCCTTGAAGTTCAAAACTTTGTGTAACCAATTTTTATCTCTTGAAGAAGTTTAATTCTGCAGCCAATTTTTGCGCTATTAAATTTACTAGGTTTTAACCACTAGAGTTAGCGTAGTGGTGTGGTGTGTGTAGTGTTGGATTCTCATTGTAATATAAAAAAAAATTCTAAAAAAATATTATTCGATCCAGAAGGGATCTAAGTTAATGTAGAATGTGGTCACTACCGGTATTTATCAGGTGACAGCATCACTCACTGCGGGCTGAGCCAAATCAGGCTACACCAACTTGGACCATTTGTTTTTTATTTTATTTTGGGCTACAATTTTGTTAACTAACTTGTTGGGTTTGCCCATTTTAATATCTTTAACTCATGTTTTACCAAATGAGCAAGCTCTCATTGTCTCATAAAACACTCTAATGGATAATGCTAATCATATGTAATAGCTTTTATCTTCTATAGCATGTGGGTGCAAAACAAATATTTTATTCGGATCAGAGAACTATTTAATTGTGAAAATAAATTTAATTTTAAGAAAGAAAAAGATGTGTAAATAGAAACTCATTACTTTTTTTATACGAAATCAAAGCCAAAGATGAAAAGGCCCTGGGGAAGTATTGCCCACTCTCCTGATGCAATTTACTTGGTGATGTATTGGGAGTATCTGCCCAATTTCGTTCTCTTGTGCGCCAATGAGCCCATTTCTTCACCTAAAAGATTGAAAGGAGGAAAAAGGACCAACCAAGGCATGTTCATTACTCTCTCTTTTTTAGTACAAAGCATGTTCATTACTTTTAATGCATCTTAATAATACAATCTCTATCAATTTTTACAGGAGACGAGTCCTTGACTGAGTAGCCCATATAGATTTTCCTTGTCACAATCCAATTTGTTTTAGCCTTTGTTTGGGAGTTGATTTTAGGAGGGGGAAAAAAAGAAAAGGAGGATTTTAGTAAGCTCTTCCCTTGTTTGTGAGTTTAAAAAAATGAGGAAAAAAATTTGAGAATTTTTACTAAACCCTCCAAAACCCTCATTCTTCTTAAAATTAAAGTTTCTCAAATTTGGGGGAGAAAATGTTAAAAATTACTTATCTACCCTTGGCATTAAAATGCAAATACTACATAAATGTAAATCATTTTTAAATGTGACATTATTAGAAAAGTCTCAAATATCGACAGAATTTATCGACGAAAAATATTTTATCAAAAATAGTGATGAAATTTTTGATGAAAATCATATACATCAACAAATTTTCGTTAAAATTAATGACAAAATTAAATACACAACCAGATTTTGCATTAATCACTAACATAAATTTTTTACGAAAAAAAAAATCCAATCAAAATTATTGATAGAATCTAAATTCTGTCGAAACTTTCAACGAAAATATTTGTGTCCAAAATTTTGATGAAACACATTTTCATCGAAAAGTTTCGACGAAAAACAAATACGTCAACTTTTTTTACAAAAAACATTTCCATTACAATTTTCCTCAAAAATTTTGGACGAAAAATATTTCCATCAAAATTTGTGAATAAAAACATTTCTATAAAAAAATTTGACAGAATTTTTTTTTGTCAAAATTTTATACGAAATCTAAATTTCGTCAAAATATTTCACAAAAAAATATATTCATCGGAATTTTTGACGAAAAAAGTTTCCATCAAAATTTTCAATTCAAAACATTTCCATCGAAAAATTTTGACAGACAAAAAATTTCATCAAAATTCTTTAGAGAATTCAAATTTCGTCGAAAGTTTTTGTCGGAAACATTTTCGTTAAACTTTTTGACAAAAAAAAAAAATTCGTCAAATTTTTTAACGAAACACATTTCCATCAAAAATTTGCAACAGAAAATATTTCCGTCAATTTTTTTGATAAAAACATTTCCATCAAAATTTTCAATAGAACATATTTCTGTCAAACAAATCCGACATAAAATATTTCCGTAACAATTTTGGACGAAAAATATTTCGATTAAAATTTTTGACGGAAAAAATATTCTGTCAAAATTCTTTACAGGATCTAAATTTCGTCGAAAGTTTCGAATGAAACATTTTCCTCAATTTTTTTGCCAAAAACATTTCCGTCAAAATTTCCGTGAGAACACATTTTCATCGAAATTTTGAACATAAAACATTCCGTTAAAATTTTTGACGAAATTCTTTTTTCGTTTAAAACATTTGATGGAAACTAAATTTTGTCGAACATTTGAATAGAAAATTTATTTTTGTAAAAATTTTCATCGGAGAAAAATTCCATCGCTTTTCGACAAAAAGTGTTCTAACGAAAAAATAATTTTGTGATGAAATTTTTATCATTTTCAACATAAAAATTTCATCGAAAATGTGATCTTTTTTAGTATTGTGAAAAGTACATAAATAATTTTGTTAGAAATTTTAAATTTAATTTAATTTGTAAAATATAATAATTATTTTAATTTAAAAAAAGATAAAATGATAAAAATATCTCATTAACCCTCCGTTTTACACCATTACCATTTTTTTAACTCCCAAACAAGGGATGAAAATACTCTTCAATTTCTTTCCCTTCCCTCCCCCTTGGGTCCCCTCCATTCCCTTCCCCTCCAAACTCCCAAATAAATTAGAGTGTTTTATGAGTCAACCAGAGGTTGCTCATTTGAGTTATAGATATTAAAATGGGCAAGCCTAACATGTTAGTTAACAAAATTGAAGCCCAAAAAAATATAAAATAAATGGTCCAAGTTGGTGTAGCCTGATTTGTGTAACACCTCGTGTTTACCCGATTTGTTATCATGTCATCGTATTAAGCTGCAATTAATTAAAAAGCGGAAACTAACTTTTTCTTTTCAATTATGACGTAATTATTAATAACCAAGTTGATTACTTAAATCCTTTATAAAACATTGTCTGTATGTAAATTGCAATAAAAGCTAACTACACTGAATAACCTTATAATATAATTAAGTGTGTATCTAGTCATGGAACTACAACACGTAGACTGGACAATATCGTGATACAATTATACAACTCAAATCTAAATAAACATAGTCGAGTCAACGTGGCATGGACAATCCCCACGCTCATCAAATAAACAGCATAATCATCGAGTCTCAAATACAATAAAAAGAGAATAAATATATCAGCATCCAATCATAACAGTATAATCAGCATGCATCAGTCGACTAAGCTCCAACCTTCTACCACTCGAGGTATCAACCCCCGAGGTACCTGAACCTGAAAATGTGCCGCAAACGTAGGGTGAGATCTCTAAAAAGAAATCTCAGTAAGACAAGGGGTCCTCAAAGATCTCTCCACCCCAAGCTCACATACATGTGCAATATAAGTTCTAAAAGCAGTAAAACAGTATAAGTTCCAAAATTTGTGCAATGCAGCATATAATCATGCCATGTGTGTCAAAATCCTACTGGCCAGAGAACATGCAGGAATTGCATACGTCTACAACCTACAGTAAGTGCAAGAAGCTACTTGCACCCACCCACAGAATCACCCTATTGTATGACGCTA